CTCGCAAGAAAGTACCAATTTCTATGGCCAAATCCACTAACCGCTATGTAATAAAAGTGAACCCCCCCATCTTATTAATAACTTTACTGCTGTTGTAGCTATTTCATTTATATCTCATGTATGAACTTTGCTATTTAAAATACAAGCCTCCTGTTTGGTATGGTGATTCAGAAGTGCCAAGCCTAAAACCTGAAAACTGGGTGTCACACTTGTTTTTATGTGAGTTGACATCAAAACAAAGGGAGAATAGTCTCAGTATGAACTTAGAGTAACAATGCAGTACAAAAAGAAAAAAGTTTGCATCACCTTATATTTTCAACAAGATAAAGAACTACATTATTCTATGAATCATTTTAAAATATAATTTAGACAAAATCTTGTTCTCTTTGAGGAAATCTAACAGTTCGGCATCTGGGCCACAACAGAGGACAGGGATGGCCTTTAAGGCTATATGTCAGACAATACAGATAATGAGATCATTGGCCTGTTGGGCTACGGAAATTAAAAAAAGATCATAAAAGCTGAAAAATCTATACTAAATATTTGCTTTTTCCCAATGTCCTTGAAGATGAGCATTTTAAATTCATGCCAAGATAATAAATCACTTCATATAATCTCACTGTTTTCCCAAATGAAAAACAGTTTATAGGGAAAATTCAATTTTATTGAAAGGCAATTGATATTAATGCCATTTTCAAAACCAGTTTTTTATTCCAGGTCTGCTCCTTCAAGCCTTAGTTTTATTTACTGTGGCTAAGACTCTGAAAGAGTTCTTCTTTGGTTCATTTTCATAATTTCTTATAAGAGAAAGAAATGTTCATGTAATTTCTGAAATTAGACTAAAGGAAGCTGGGGGATGATTTGGGAAGAAGAATCCAGTTTTTTTCCCTACTTATACAAGAAGTAGAGAAGTGTTATCTGATTGAACGTTTGTATTCAGAAGCACATCTAGCACATGCCTGGCCATAAGCACACACCATCACCTCATTGTTTATCCAAAATTTAAACTTAAAGCTGTAGGATTTTGATGAATAACACTGAAATTTTCCACATGGTGGTAAGTTCATTGCTGTTAGAGCCTGGTTAGAGATACTCAGCCCTTGTCAAAGACAGACCTGGCAAATCAATCACTCGGCCAACGAACCTTGCACCATATTCTACTGAGGGTGTTCACACACTGATATGAGTGTGATTTTCACAAGTAAACTGAAGGTGGCTCCATAAATCAGTGTAGAAGTCCTTACATCATGTGGTAGGCTGCCAAGCTCTGTGACGCTACGTTGGTCATCGAGCAGAAGAGATCTGGGATGCGATCCTCTGTTAAGATAAACTGCCATTACTGTGTTGACTACATCAGCTGAGAGCATGGCTAGGTGGCTAGATACCAAGAGCATTCTGAAAAGCCCTTTACTTGTGGATGTATTTGTTGATCTAAACATGATCCTGCAAGAATTAGAACGTTTCAGCTTTTGGTCATGGAAGTACTGAAGAGTTTTTCAGTGGTTAATGCTATGAAATGTCCCCATACTTACCTATACTTCCTACTTCAAATGCTGGGATTGTTCTACTGACTGCGTTTTTTCAGAGTTATTTTGGATTGTTTTGAAGGAATTCTACACAGAAAAAAAAAAAACAAACAGGATATACACCTCTCATGATTCTGCTCCACAGCATTATCCTGAAGAGACATAGGCTTTCTCTATTCAGTTCAGAAAAAGTTCAATTTATTTGATTAGCTGTTCTCCCAGTTTACTCGAGTGTAATGCTGCACGTAAGAATTTCCACACCAGACTACACTTGAACTCCGTAGGTCAGATATAATTTTTAATTATGTTATAGGTAAATGACTGAGTTCAGAGACTCTTTCAGGGGGATTACAGTCTGTTTCCAAGTCTGGGAACAGCTGTAAACTTAGGCAGTGACTCGCATCCGTTCTGATCCACCGAGTTCAATGGGACCACATGGGTCAGAAGTAAAGCAGAATTTGGCCTACCATTTCATCTGTTTCAGTGCAAGTTCCTTCTGTGTTCTCTACATAATTAAGTGCCAGACCTCAGAGAAAATGTTGTCCCATTCACTGTAAAATAGGAGGGTCCATGGAGGAAAATAGTTGCATTAGAGAAACACACAAATGACATTAAGACTACCTAGTTTGATGTTTTCAAACCTTTTTCTTTTCTTCTGCAAACAATGACAGTTTCAATAGGGTCTGAAGTGATACTCTTAACAAATAATACACTAGTCTGTCATGTGGTTAATATAAACGTCTCTCTATTCAAACATGCTGAAAACTGAATAGAACAGTTAACGTATAACAGTCACACATCCTTTGCTGAGTACAAGAGCGCATCTCTAACATGAACTGAAGATATCCTCACCATTTCAGCTCTCCATCTGTCATTCAGTCAGACATTTCCTTCTCTTAAATACATCGCTCTTCCCCTCTTTCTGGGTCATTCGGGGGTGCTGAGTGAACACATTCTCTCCATAAAGACATTGGTTATGATATGATTCTTTCTTCAACAGAAATCTTGCCGTGTGCTTCCAATATGTTGCCAAAGGTGAATTTGCAGAGTTTGGTAGGATTTAGGGGCGAGAAAGTCTTACATCTGGATAGAAAAGATTTAATTTTGCAGCATCCATTTGGGCAGGATTCTGCACTTTATTGCAGAGAGACCATCTCTTGATGAAATTAACGGTGAACAATTAATTGTGATTGCACTTCACAAATCATTGAATCAGAGCTTTATATAGTAGCCAGTTTTTTTATTACAGGTATGTCCTCAGGGCTTATGGGTAGAGGCAAGCTCACTTTGCTCATGTCCTGAGCTGGTGGGATGCAAGTGGTGTTGACAGAAAAGTCACACTACTGTCGGGATTCAAAGCTGTCCCACCTAATACACCTCATCTTTCAGAGGGTTTCTCTGGTGGGGGCTTGCGGCTATACCCACCGCAGTCAGCTCAGCTCATGCACACTGAGATTGTGCCCAGCTGTGACGTACTGCAGAAACACGTCAGGCTGAGACCACTCCCACCGCACTGCCACGACAAAAGCTCTGTGTCTTTGAAGAAGGGAGTCCAAACGAGGCATGCTCCACCCCGGGGCGTAAAGCACAGTCTGCCCTCAAATATATTTTTATTGAAAACACACAGCAAAGATTACAGCCATAGAAAGTTCTGTAAACAAAACAATTGCATTCATTTTTCTCTTAAAAAAAAAACAACCCAAAACCAAAACTGCAAAAGAAATCAAAAATAAGACTTGCTGAATGAAGACTGTGAATAGTAATTTTTTTTTACTGTCTCAACAAAAAAAAATGACATACACCTTCAGCATTTCTTTTTGAAATTTACTTGACAGAGGTTAAAATATTGCTTTATTCTGACTCAACATACAACAGCACTGCGTGATCGATTGTGCTATTCTGGGAAGCCTTGAGACTTGTGAACGGGAAAGTTCAGGGCACATTAATAAATTTAACAATTAATTTGCTGCAAAGGAATATTTTAATACATTCTGTATATACTGTAGATTTGTTTTTTAATCAGTCTTCTGACGTTAACCAGGGAAAGCTATTTAGCAATTATTTATTATAGTTCACTTTATTTTTCCCCATGAATAAGCAGATATTTTAATACTAATAAAAACTGTAACGTGTGTGTCACTGAACCCAATTCATTGCATTATTGACATATTGTGTTACAATTTATGGGGGGAAGAGGGACTCAAAAGAAAACGAATGCAAAAAATGCTTACAGTGAGATTGGGATATGGTAACAAGGAAACGACTTTTCTTCTCTGAGGCCTGGATCCCCTGCAGGGAGTGATCTGGTGCAAAACATCTGCTCTTATATAGAATCAGATCTGTGTATGCTTGTGGGTCTGCCCATACTGAACCATCTGCAGGGCTGAAGCTTTAAAGTTCACAAGCCTAAGCCATGATTAATTAAAGTGGCTGGAGAGCGGAAAGTGGGAAAACATTAGGGCAGCATGGACACTTATTGGCTGGATTTTGATCATGTTGGATCTCCCTGACTCTTCTCTGAACAACCCATAATAAAAAGTTAAAAAAAAAATCACACACACACACTGAGAAGTGCTCCTTGAGAGCTTACAAATGCCTTTAAAGTGTAACAGTTCAGAAATGTTGAGGGGTTGGTAACGAACAACGGATTTTCTGTTCCCACTCAAAAAAACCCCAAACCAAAACCCAAACCCAAACCTGTTGCAATACACACTTTTGCACTTTCTCTTGGTTTTCCTTACTCTCCACCAAGGCAGCTCTGATAGGCAAAGCTCAGAAGATGGAGTGGCTGCGGGCTCCTGGCCACGGCATCTCTACAGACCCCAATCCAGCTCCACACTTGGCCAAATCCAAAGCTCCTAAATGTTTCCATTGGCTTTCTTGGGCTGACTGACACACTAAAGTAAGGTCGAGAGTCAAGCATCTGGCTCAATTTAGGGATTTATTGTCATAAATGTACAGTAGGTACCAGACCTCAGAAGCAGACGTCTGCGTGCCTGTTTCCACGGTGTGAACCTGGAACCAAGAGGAGAGGGGAGCGGGTCTGTGCTGGGGGGACAGGCCTTCCTCCTTGGGGTCTGAATCCCTGGCCAGCAGCTCCCTGCAGCGCTGCCCTGAAACCAGAAATTAATCTAAGAATGGTCTTGGCCTTTACTGGAAAAAATGATGCATAGCCTAAGCCTTCGGACAGCCCAATGGGACCGTGGTACAATGCTCTGTAACTGAAACTGTGTGTGTAAACCTGCCTAGAAAGCACCTGATGTATGCTTCATCCCTCCTGGAACTTTTCCCTTAAAAAAATATTTTGTTAAAAAACACTATGATGTGAGGGCGATTGACTATTTGGTTTCTTCTAAGTAGATGCTCTTAAATTAATGCATATAAATAATTTGTATTTAATCTCCTCCCTTCCTGTTTAGCAAAGCATCGAATGCACAGATCTCTTGTTTCCCCTCCCGCAACCCCCACACAGAGTCACTTGGTCAATACCGAGTCTCTTTGCGTTTCGCTTTTTAAGACAAATTGTGCCTCTCGCTCCAACTTGGCCGTGGGGCTCATGGGCAGAAAGGCCGTGTTCTCACTCGCGCTGCTCTCTGCTTCTACGCTCGCCAGTTCATAGTCCTCCGACCGCCTCGCGTCCGTCAGGATCTGAATCTGCTTCTGCACAGTTTCTAGCAATATTTTCACTTCGTGTTGTTCTGCTATAAGACAATTACTGACTGGGGAACTCACATTGACAAGTTCAGCTGAATAGGAGTTTTTGCACCATTTGATGCCTGTTACTTCCGAAACATTTTGCATTTGCATGCAGGCTACGTCCAAGCCCACAGCCGGGATGATGGGAACGGAGTTGGCCCTTGAAGCTGAATAGCCGACCAAGTCCTTCTGATCCACGTTATTAAAATAAGGGGTTGTCTCTCTTGAAGGCAGTTGCATATTTATTGAAGTATTCTGAGGAGTTTTTAAACCACTGGAGGAATACCTGGAAAGAATAAAAAGAAGTTTTTTTGTTGCACATCAGGCGGTCAGATGCAACCGGCAGCAGCAACGCTGTGAACTGTGCTGGAAAGACACACCTCATTTTTCTCTCACGCTAGGAGCACTGGGTAATAGCATGGCCCTGGGGAAAACAAGAGACTCTGGAGACCTGGTTTTGATTTTCAGATCTGCTGGTGGCAAACCACTCCTTCCCTCTCTGTCTCTTTTTGCCCAGCAGTACATGAGAGTAACAACAATTCCTTTTTAAAAGCTTTCAGGAGCAATACTGTATTACAATTAATTTTGTTTGAAATTAAATTTGAAATTCCTTTCCTCCTTTCCTAAACAGGGATATGGATCGATGATTTCCTCAACATCAGAACTCTCAATGTCAAATGGCTATTTTAGGAAAACACTTTAAAAAGGTACAGAAAGGACAAACCTCAAACAAAATATGGCTGCATAAAAATATGGCTGCATAGTCTTTATTTACACAGAAATGACTGTCTGTGCTCCCCTTCAGACAAGCAGGGCATCTAAGTGCAGCATACCTCTGAAAAACATGCCTTTTTTTCGATTGCCCATACTCCGAGTGTTGGCCTGATTCATTTTCTTAGATCTCATTGGGAAACAGAGCTAATACACTGGGCACAAAAAAAGGTCCATGTTTTCCTGATACTGTAATTCTGTGTTTCAAAAAAAAATTCTTTATCCTCCATGAATACACATCGTAGGACGATTTAGTTATTGTGAGGCAACTTTTGGTGAATTTTTATCAACATTTGCAATTTGCTTCAAAGCCAAATTAATTATTCTAATCAGAAAGCCTTTTCACTACAGGAAATACTTAAAAAACAGAAATGGAAAGTATACTAAATATAAAGTAAAGGAAACAATGACAAAAAAAAAAGATGTTTCCCATTTGAGAAGCAGTATTATCAGAAATTTGGTGCACTAAGAGTTACTATATCTACTGGTCATGATTGCCAAGGACTGCAGATATCGCCTCAGTAACAGAACATATTTTATTTATAATCAGCTTTGTGATTACCTCATTCTTTAATAAGGCAAGCTAATGGTGAAGTCTAGTATGTTTTAACCCTGGATGAGGAAAGCAACACTTAGACCTGGTGTGGAAGGAGGAGCTGTGAGCTCTGACTTGAAGGGTATTTTTCTGAAAGCTGCTTAAGCCTGCTGGACTTCACTAGGGATCACCTTCTGCTTACAGATCTGCCTTGCTGCTTTCTGGCATTAGCAGAAAGAGAACTAAGGAAAAGAAAGGGAAATGCATGGAAAAGCCATAATATTAGTGTACAATGCTAATTAACTGGAAAGGCTTCCTTTGGCCCCATCCTCCTGGCGAGCTGTCAGAAGGAGAGAGAGGAGGAGATAGCTTTTGGCTTGTTTCCAGCAGACCACCGCTGACTTGTAGTTAACTTGTCTACGGTGGCACCGTGTTTGTACCACTGCTTGACACGTTAACCTGTACATGAGCATGCACGCAGTTCCATGCAGCCCCTGTACGGAAACTCTCCAGGCATCCCCAAAAGACCAGAGAACGCAGCTGGGAGCTCTTTGATAATGAGGAGGTGCTGTGATCTTTGCTGCTCTCTGATGGACAGAGATGTTGCTTTGGGAAGTGGGACCCAGGGAAATAATATAGCAAGTGGCCTTTTTGGACATGTGATAGAACTTGCACATGCTATACAGCTACATCTCTGCTTTACAACTGAGCCAGCTAAGACTCAGCTTTTGGTTAATTACATTTGCACTACGCTTAGTCACGCTTGTAGCCGTTCATGAAGGGCCTTTTTAGAACAGTTTTCAAGAATCAGTATGAATGAAATACTGATCAGGGATATTATTCCCGAGGGGGGACGATTAAAAAAAATAAACAAAAACAAAACAGTGCAGACCTTTGGGTTGTGCCCATTCTTGTTTCCTTTGCTTATTATATAATTGTTCAAACGACTATAGCTGGAGAGATCGCATCAGTTGCATTATTCCCTTTTTTGGTAATTCGGGCCCTAAATATATTCTGGGCTGCACCCTGAAAACAAAGGGAGTGAATGTTTTTAATGAATTTCACATGCAATGGATGTATTTTATGGATGATATATAAGCAAAATGAAGAAAAGTCTGAATTAAAATGGGTTTGGTGAGAAAACAATAACATTTGCCAATTCCATAGTAGGTATTCAGTTTTTCTTGGTATTTTGAAAACTAATTGGCAGCAACAATAACATGTAATGCAATGCCTGGCACATTTTGATAATATTTTTTGAAATACAGACAGACACACCAATTTTATGCCAGAATTCGTATTTTTGCCCTGTGCTCACAGGGCTTTCAAAGGAGGACTGAGGTTGAAGTCAAGCACATACACTGTGTGCAACAAGCAAGGTATTACACTACTAGGGACATTACATCTAAACTGTGTGAGACTCAGCTTTTGGTTAATCACAAACTGATCCATGCTTCTACTTGTGACACCAGACGGCTGCTGTTTTCAGACTGAGACTTAGACCTATAATTGCAGAATCTTAATTACATTTTCCTATAATTAACTTCCCAGCACTATAGTTCCTCCTAAGACAGATATCTTGTTTTTATCCGAAAAACTATTTTGTCTGAATAAATTCATTCACATGCACGTTATTTCAAAGCGCAGCTCTCTCTCCACCCTCTTCCTAAAACTAAGCAAAAAAAGAAACCCAAACATTTACAAATATGCAACAGTAATTATGTTATACAGTGTTTAAAAGTCTAAATTAAAGAATGAAACTGAAAGAAGCATAGTAATTTCACTGCCCCCTTGAAACAGATATTAAAGATGGACAGAAGTGATCGGAACTTAAAATACAAAATGGTTTTCATTTAGCATAGTACCAACAGATTTGCCATAAGCCCTTTGGCTACAGGTGTTCAGTATGTGAGCCTGACGACAAGGTCCAGTAAGGTGAATGGGAGTCATTCCAGTGGCCATACCAGGCTTTGTTTCAGCCTTGTAACCACACATACCCATGTATACACCCCCTGTTTTCTATGTAGATATGACGCATTTGTTCTTGTATACACAAACACGTTTGTATCCATATATGTGCATATGCACAGGCCATAAGGCACTACTACTAACGCTTCACACCGTGTAGCGCAAACAGTCGTCACTGAAAGCATGCGATCAAGCCGCTGCCCACTGAACTGCAGGCAAACTCCTGGCACCCTCGGGGACTCGAATTGGTCTCCGAGACGTGACTGGCATGGGGATGGTTTGTTTTCTTTCAGCCTCTCATTTCAAGCAGGTTTTTAAACTCTTTCAAGTAGCATACCGATTAAACAACTGGTATTAGCTGTATTTGACTCAAACTCTGCAAATATTAGATCCTGTTGCAAATAATGAGATCTGGTGCTTCTTGAAGGCAGTAAAAGCTTTCTTCTCAATGTGGGGTGGGAAGCGGAGCACTTTTACAGGTCTAGATAAAAACTAATCAGGTAAATTAGCGTCTTTTCTATCAAACATAAACGTACAAAATCTGACTAAACTTCAGCCAGAGTTGCTGACGGACGAACTTCAAAAGGCTCACAGAATTAGGGAGATAAACCACTTTGATTTGTGCATCCATATAGGGAAAGATAGAGGTGAAAAGAGAGAAGGAAAGGAAGGAGTGTAACTTCGGCAGGGAACAAGGGGACTTTTCATTTGGGCTGGAAATCTAATGAGACTACCTACACTATGAAATGAACAGATATTTAGCTGGTAAAAAGCCATCTGATTCGGGTGAAACCTCTTCTTGAGTTAGAGGAATTCCACATAGAGTTAGTGAATTATTTTAAATTTTTGTTCAGAGATTAGATGTGTACTTATATTTTGGTTGAAGAGACTACTTCACTGATGCAACACAAAATAACTTACGAAAAGTTTTGTTACACTCTTAAAAGGCTTCATTTACATAAAAAACATCATGAGTAAAACTGCAATAAATCAAAGAGTTGCTTTTGTTTCCATGTCTAACATTGACATTCAAAAAATTCATTTCTGTGGGTACTGGTTGAAGACTTTTGGTGTCATATTTGTGATATGCACCGACTGCTGTGACTCCCTGTCACAACACCACCTGCTGATGCACTCAGAGGTCTCCTTCAGAGAAAGGTCCCATCATTAGAGTTGATATTAGGAAGCTCTAATTCTACAGACATCCCTAGTGCATGAAATATGGATGAAGTACTGTAGTGGATTGAGGCCAAAAGGGGTCATAGTCTGGTCCAAGTATCAAATTTGCAGAACTGCAGATTTAAAATCTACGCCAGTACGAGTTGATACTTGTAATATCACACGCTGATTTCCCAAAGAAGAGTAAATACAGCCATGCACACAACAGCTTTGCTGTTTTCTGCCTCGCTTCTCAACCTAGGAAGAGGCTGCAGCAGTCTCCAGAGCCCGTGTCACAAGCCACTGCCGTGGAAGAGGGCAGGCTGTCGGCCTGCCCCTTTCAGGAAGGATTGCATTCGGAGGCACAATTTTCGTAAGGACACTGCACAATGTACACAGATTTATTTAAAAAAACATGGAAGTTGGACTTCTGAAATATTTCCTCTTATTTGCCCAGTGCTGATGGAAGAAAAAAACGCTATGCAAAGATTACTAGATTACTAGAACTGCACATCCTGACACCACTAAAAAAAGCATCAATTACAAAGAGTAACATTGCCAATCACTTGCAGTTTGTTCCGATTGCTCCTTCTACAGCCTTTCAAAGGCTTAAAAAGAGTAGTCAGCCAAATAAAAACATACTACCTTCAAAGAGCCAGTACGCTGAAAACATTCTCCTGCTTTCAGTGCTATAAACCCTGGATCCACAGTACACTACAACAAAGCTGGAAGGACTGTAACGGCAAAGCGTATTACCCCCGTAACAGCAGCCACTCACAAGCTGGCTCTCTTCAGTTATGTTCTTACTTACCCGTGACAAGGTATTGTGTCCTGATCTGTGATCCTTGACTCTTCCAGCTGCTGATACGCTGGTCCTGTAATTCCATTGAACCTACCCCGAGGCAAGGGAGGAGTCCTCCGAAAGGCATTTCTGTGTAGCATCCCACTTTTTTGTCCTGGGCTGCAGCATGAAGAGAGACTTCTAGGAACGACACCAAGAGTACAGTAAAAATTATCACAGCAAAAGTGTAAATTTCTTCAAAGTAAAGATTCAGGATTAATAATGCATGGATTACTGTTTTTATAAACTTTGCTGTGGCGGTCTGTGACGTCAGTAGAAATTCTCTATGGAAATATAATACTATGATCCACAGCTAGCTGCTGTTTATGTCGTATTTAGTACACCACCTCTCTTCTAGGAAGAAAAATAACTGCCTGGTATATTAAATGCTTTCTCATACTCAATGAAGGATGCTTCTTTTTCTCGTGCTACATACCATAATCCTGCTATACAGAGTTGACTCCGCAGACCAGATAAATCAACAGCACAGCTCCATCATAACTACAGCGGAGCTCAAAATCAGATCTGAGATTTAGAGCCCACTGTATCTTCTATCAGCCTACAAGGTCCTGCTTCCCCATACAACATGAAATTGGGAAAAAATGTAAGTGAAGAATACAAGTGAAGCTTATGAACTGCAGCCTGAAGAAACTGACACAAGTTTTCTCCACATTGAACAAGATTTCTTGTCTATATTGTTTTATTCTTGTTTTACATACATTGATTTTTTTCTTCTTTATACATAAACACTGTGTTGTTTCTTGATGCAATATGATACAAACTCAGATATGATTAAAAAAAAGTAATAGTTTTCTACTTATTTTAGAAAATTGCTTTTGTAAACACCATTTTTGTACTGTTTTGGATGGAGAATGGATCTTTTCCGGTTTGTGCAGGAATTAAAAGACAGCTAGAATCCGCATAGTTTTGGTATATTAACCAAAAATTCAGCTGTTGCTAATGCAAAAGTAAAGGAAAACAGAATTAAAGGAAGATATAACCTATTTCTACTGTTACCAGGACACAGTACTGCCCAGTGTGACTGGCTATTCATTTCCCAGCAACTTATTCTCTCGATATATCTTGCGTCGTAGAAATGCATATGTATTACCTCATATTCTCTCATATCCTTAATGATGTTTTAATATAGGTTTCGTAGATGCATTTTAAGAATGATTATTTTTGATTACGTGAATAATTTCAACTTCTGACACAATTCAGCTATGCAAAAGACTTTTGATAAGCTTGCTTCTCTTTTCCTGTTATACAGTGACTTAAAAGCAATCTGCATTTTACACCTAGTGGGAACTTTATTTATAGTTAGGGCCACATCTACTCCCAGAGCAATTCTTGCTTGGACCAAGTATGTTGGACAAATTCTCTTGGAGCATACTTTTCCATTAAAACCAACCTTTACTCCCCAAAGTCAAAACATAAGAAAGAAATTCAACAGTCTCTATCCTACTGCTCAGGCTAGTAGCGTTCCATCACGGTCTCTGCTCTGTTCTCTTCCACACTTCTACTTCCCTGATGTTTTTTAATTGAAAAAAATCAATAACCCATAGCAATAGCACTCCCTCAAGGATTTTTGGTGCTTCCTTAAATAGATTTTTCCTTAGTTATTAGGGAGGCTGCGAAAAAACTTTTTTAAAAAGACTGAAGTATCGGCCTCTTGATTCTGAAGGCTGAGTTCAAGTTGTGAGTCACAGTTCATATTCTGTAAAATAACACTACAATATCACAAAAAATTTGAAAATTTCTGCTCAGGAGAGTCTGGGATTATTACAGCAGGGGATCTTAAAAAATGCAGCGAAATGAATAATTCCTGATGGATAATGAATTTCAGGGATTGTTAATTGATTGCAGTATATTCATCAATGTACTAGAAAAGTCAACAAGGTGATTAACTTAACAGGTTTTAGACTGATTGCAAATATTTGAAACTAGAAAGGTATTGTTTAATTGTGGTTGGTTTGATGCCCTTGTGCATGTTCCTTGCTGGATGAGAGCACACGGTCTCCCATCTCATAACACACCCATGCAAATTCACAAAAGCTCTGCATTTGCAATAGACATAAGTGTAACACATACAGGTGTACCCGAGATAGTTGGTATAAACTGCAGGAAAGATGCATATAAATGCCCGATCGAGACTTCCTTCAAATTGCACCAAAACTCTCGTTGGTGCATCTAACACGAGATGCTGCAGGCTGCTAAAGGTGCGTGGGCTGGTTAGGCTGAAGGGATCTGGCACACGCCTACATCATCCTGCAATCACAGCAGCTCCAGCACCAACAGAGCTTAAGCAACCCATTTGTCGCTCATGTGAGGTTCTTAGGCTTTCAGCATTTCTGACAGAAAAAACGGAGGAGAAAATGAATAAAAATCATTTGTGGTCATGGACAAGACAAAGTCACTAAGAAGGACCAGGAAATATTTATAGACAGTGCAGCTGCAAGCTGCAGGATAATGCTCATTTCTTGAAGCACCAATGACAACAGAGCAACAATTTTTGTTAAAAGTTCTATGAAAAAAGTGAAAGTTTTTCGTTTTTCACTAAACTGCTATGAACGTCAGCATACTCTTCCTCCAAAGTGTTAATACAGTTCCTCTCAGGCTGCTGCTCTATTGCTCACATGAAGCGTTCCTCTCTCACAGGCAAACACTGCCTCAGGGAATTTATCCTCCTTTAGCCATCATTATGATTTCTTCCCTGCCGTACTCCAGTCTAACTGGGTAAAAGAAACCAGCCCACGTAACTGAGCTGTTCGATTAAACAGGCCAATAAGGAAAGCCGTAGCAGACAATAACAAAAAATCAGAATATGCTTGAACTGGTTCACAAGTAATGCATAAACTAGAGAGAAATACAGTTCTGATGAATTAATGGTTTGAAAGAAGTAGTTCAACCATTTCTAAAGTTAATTAAGAACTTGGGATTCACGGTCACAAATTGTTTTGTGTGAAAATTTTGTTTAGGTTGAGCAACTGAGTAAAAACCAAAGTCAGTCGCGGCAGGTGGAGTACTCCCTTCTCAACATACACAACTTCCAAGTGCAGTTAACCATGTTCATGAAGAGGAGACGACTTGTAGTGAATTTACAGTAACTCTGGGAATTCTCCTGTATTACTTTTTAATTACTAAACAAAATTGATTATACATCATGTTATGAATACATTCAGAAGTAACTTTGCCAAGAGGAACATCAAAAGCATTAACAAGAGAATGAAAATTCAAATGTTCAAACTTACGATGGGATTCCAGTCCTTCCCTTCTTGTTTAATAAGCACAATGGAGCTAAAGAAATAGTGCTTACAACCATGGTTTTGTGTATATCTATTCTACTTGTTCTTTCCCCTTTTTTCATGATTCTAATTCATGAAAAGAAAGATACAAAGTTGAAGGAGGAAGAAAAGTTCTAAAATTGATTGCAAATGCTCTGGCTCTGTACCTGCAAAAACTATACAGAGAGGCATATTATATTACATACCATATTACCTACTATATTACCTACTGATCATGAGATGCAAACATTAGGGTTGAAGACATGTTTTTTTCCTTGCAAGACAGAACAGTAAGTACATACCCCAATGACAGAGCTAGTTGCCAGATAGAATATCTTCTGACATTCCCTAGAAACCACATTTTCAGGCTAAGTTAGACAACCTACTGCTAACATTTGTACAGATTGACTATTCAGATTTTCAACCAATTTTCAGGCTTAGTAAAAAGTATCTGTATGTGATTAAAAGAATACTAAGATTGTAAGGAGACTGTTATGCTAAAAGAGCTGTGGTATAAGAGAACTGAACTTAAATAGTTCTATCCCTTTTTTCTCCATAGAGTCCTGTATCCCAAGCATTTAAAAATTACTCTTTTCCCGTGTCTTTGCAAAGTAATCGTGCACGGTGTCAGTACATGATTACTGTCTGGGAAAACATCTCATCTACAATGGCACCATGACCTGTGTTTCCTAGCTCGTGTTTATGAACCGTTACGGCTGGTCAGGTTCTCAGCCCAGGTGATGGAGCGGGACGGTAGCCTGCTGTTTGCTGTACTCTCCTCTCCCTTCGCATATGCAGGAGAAGCTTTCCTGCAGCCAGCTATACCTACAAAACTACTCTTCATTTCTGAAATGGGAGCATTGTTGCTGCCATTACATATTCATGTCTTCAGGAACAGCATGTGCTGGGGCTGACTGGGGACTTTGCAACCCTACATTAATCCTTGAACATTACCAATATCATCTGGTCACCATCCCAGTTCCACCAGATACGTAGATACACATAATAGGAAAGGGAACAGAGCATTTGAAGACACCTCAGTGGCACTGAGTTTAATCATCTGCCATAACTGCAGACTGAAACAAGACAGACTTTCCAACACTTGCTACGGAACACAGTTTACTCATTCCTCATATTAGGCTCATGAATGCAATTTGAGTCCATAGTAATCAGGAGGCCATTTTAACCAGTGGTGTATTCTCATGCTATATTCAAATGAAGTGACAACAGTGTCTCATGAAGTGGTTTTAATGTTTCTGACTTATAATGGAATTGTCTTGATAATATTTCCTCTCATCTCACTTATCTTTTCAACAGGTGCATCACTGTGACTTGGTTATCCTTTGACCAAATAGCATATACTGAACCATTTCTTCCTCATTTGTTTCTTAAATTTTGTTATGATTTGTCCCCAACATTGACTAATTCTTTGAGAGCCCCATTTGTGCTCCACTGGTGAATGTCTTCAGCCCAGCACTTACCTTCTCAGTGTAACCCCTTACTATGCCTTTTAATGACCTCTGTATATCTGCCTTATAGCTTTTCTGCCTCTCTCTACTTCCTCCCATTAAAGGCATTAGGCACGTGACAACAAATCAAATGTTGACTGAGGGTGTGTAGAGATCTAGCTCACCTACACCGCATAGAAAGAAAGTTATCAGTGTAGTGTTGCAGGAACTGCTGCTGGTAAACCTGATGATAATTCTTAGCCTTTTTTACATCTACCCAAAGAATCTGCTTCCCCCACGTTTGTCCTAAGGCTAGTCTTGACTAGTCTTCTCCAATATAATAGGTTCTCAGTTCCTTTAACAAATTTTTCCTCTCCCTAGATATATGACATTTGCTGTTCCATCACCACATGGCACAGCTCCCATTTTGGTAGATTTTGCTACCAGACTAGAAATTTCATGAACCAGTTCTCATTCCAGACTTCTTTGATCAATATTAACCAGACTATTTTGACTTCCGGGCTTTGACTTCTGCATTTTACTTCCACTTTGACTGTAGTAATGTTGATTTTCATACATTTGATTCTATTCCCATTCTACTTTCGTCCTGAAATAATCATCCTAACTGAAAAATGAAATATATTCATTCAGGATTACCCTAACTGCTTTCTATATTATCTCTGTCCCACCATCAGCTTTACTTCTTCCTGTAGAGTACTCCTCTTCTTTATACAGCAAGAACAATTGACTGCTTTCACTACTACCAGTACTACTTAACTCTCAAAGATTTCTGAAAATGCTCACTTCAGCATGACTTCTTGTCCTCTGTGATATAGTTTGTTTCTTCCTCCACACCCCATTCCTTTTAGGCATTCTTTTTAGCAGATTTCTCCAGAAAACTATGTTCATTCCTTGGGAAAATATCAAATCCCTTATACTTTCTCCCTTTCGGGCTTCCTCTGCCGTTAGTTGCTTTAGTTTATCAATATTTGTTCTTTGAAATTCAATAGCTTTATTTACTTCAATTTACTCTTTTTTTTAATTTAAACTGAATCAATTCAATTGGTAGCATAAAGAGTAAAATGCTTACTAAATAAAAAAAAGTTTTTACCATGGTTTTCATGGTCTTAAAAGTTTATTAAAATGCAAACACAAATTATTTTGAATTCTAGAGTAAGTTGATCCTATTTTGGCATTTTTGTAAGACAATACAGCTGCTCTAGGCTGAAAGCCTCTGCACTTGGCTTTCATCATGGTATTCTCTGAAATGAATCCCTCTAAAATCAATGATGACTGAATCAATGAACGAAAGTCACGATGACTAATTACCAAGAAAACTGCTTTTCAAAGGGATCAAAACTCAATCCCACAATTAATAAAACTCTAAGTTGTTGCTATCTGTTAGAAATTATGACAGTACGAGTTTTTTCCTTGCTAAAATCAACAGATAATTTGAGAAGAATTTTTGAGTGAATCGTATACTTTACGGGAAGTTTACCGATTAAACACATTTGTTACTTTCCAGTGCTGACTTTCCTAAAGAGTTGTTTTACATATGCAAGCAGATGCTCTAAAATTCTTCTACCGTAATAACAGTGCCTAACACAGGTGAAATATTTTAGGAGCAAGTTTCAGTGGAGACTCAAATTTTCAGTTCAATCTCTGCAATAATTCTTTGCATGCAGCTGAGGTTGCCAGAGACAGAAAATTGTTGTTACCTAGTCATCTGAGTGAAAGAACTAGGTGATCTCTGTCAGTCAAATTTCAGCATCTCCAAATGATTCCCCCACCTTGATAATCTTACTGCCAGGCCAAAATTGCATTGGTTAGGAACTGGAAACAGACAGCTCCTGATTTTAAGAAATAATCACCCGTCATTAGTGCCCTTGAGAACACCAGCGGAGAAAACAGTTCTGGATGTGGAACAAAATCTTTCCGTAGCATGCAGAAACAAAACAACAGTATAGTTTAACAACAGCATAAAATAGAGAACCTGCAGAGCTGCTGTAATTTTTCCAGGCTCATGTCAGGTTTGGAATGGAATGAAGGAATGTTTAGGACAAAATGTATCCCACTAAAAGAAGAAGTTTCCTCATCTGGCAACATTTGACCATTTGGCCACACTGAACGCTATTTAGAAACTAAAGAAACTGAGTAAACTAGGAAGCCATCACATGGTGCATAAATTAGGCAGCCTTACAGGTCTTCAAGGTTTAAATCTGTCACAGGTTTTATAAAGCAAGGGCCTTGTATAATAAATCTTAAGTTATAAAACTACAAAAAGAATTCTTTATAAATTAAGCTAGTCATTCCACATCTTAAAATAGTTCTGAAGCAAAGGGTTAAGATAATGCAGTGCTTGACATCTGCAAATAAGATGACTGTTGGTTTTTGCGGGGTTGGTTGTTTTTTTTCTGGGAAAGAGATTTTGTGTTAAAATGAGCAATCTGGGATACTGCATTAGTTCCATGTAAATTCAGTGTGGCTTATTCTGTAATTTCCCTATGGAAAACAGGGAGTCTAGAGAGTCATTCAGCTTTTATTTTAAGTGATGTTCATAAACACAAGACGTATTTTCAGTCTTTAGTTTCTTTCCACATTTTTAAGTTTAGGTAATGTTGTGGAACAGCATCTAAAACATTTCAAACCTGGATATTGCAATCACGCTATTACAGGTAACGGAATGTCACTGTGTTTTCTCTGATCTTCACCTTTTGACTAAATTGAAATAAAATTCCCCCCAGAACTTCTGTGGAAAGCATTCTAGGCAACAATTCCATAGTTCATCTATGTTCAGTAAAATTATTAAGCATATTTTGAAAATCTCTTTGCAATAAGGAATAAGCCCTAAGAAATGGATCTGACATGACAGTTGGCATTATTTTTTTCATGCCAAATTAAAAGCTTAAGTAAGGTAAAAGTAGATAGGATCCAAATATCCCTTCCTGGCTCATATGCTTCACTTTGGTAGGCTCAGCAAATAATTCATTCAAAAGAGAAGGAACATGTAGCTGACTGGGAGACTGCAATGAAAATGCACCAAGTACTACAGAAGCTAGATGATAACCTCATGCAGGCTTTTTTTTCCCATAATTTAAAAAAAATTATCCTTTTAATAAATAAGTCTTTCCCTCCAGATTATCTAGCTAAAAATACTCTGAACTCATTTTTCTCAGCCTTTCTTCTCCCTCTGTGTGCTCTGGACCAGATGTTACCACTGCCATTTCACCAACACTATTGCTTACACCAGACACGAGTTTGGTTTCTAGTCCCGTAATGAAGCATCTGCACTCTTTTTCATCCAAAAAATTCTAATCCAAATGCCATCCAGTGATGGGTGACTTTTCTCTTTTTTCCTCTTGGAAACAACCATCCAAACTTTTTAAAGACTAGTTTTCAAAGGCCAGCATGTGTTCATAAATAAGTCATTATTCATTTCAAGTAGTATTTGTTTAAAGAAACAGTGAGACAGGCTTGAAGTTTGCAACCATTCCTTTCTGCATGGAATGAGTCACTAACTTCATGAACATCGATAAGGAAAGCCTTGTTCTGAATGGTTGCTCAGCCTACAGTTGTTTCATTCACTGGTGTGTGTCTACAGCTTGGATGGCATCTTTAAATGCTTCCTCTAGGACTTTTACAAAACACAGATAAAGTCCGTGAGCATTATTATCACCTTTTCTGTCTGCAGCTAAGAAAATGCTTGGGCATCTGCTTAACGAGTCAGCTGAGGCTCTGTCGTACCACACCATTCAGCATCTCTCCTAGTCCCAGTGCACAATGATCCCACACACCAGTTCAGCGACATCCCTCGCAGCCTGCCAAATCTCCCATCAGGCGGCTGTTTGCTTACCTATGTTGCTTGATGGGCTGTGTTCCTCTGTCGGGAGACAAGGCCTCTGGGAAAGACTGAGGGCCTGAAAAACTAGACTCCATAACTTTGTCCAGAATTGGCCCAGGATGCCTATCTGGTTTTGAATACTGTGGCACAGAGAATAAAATTAATTAATACACAAAAGGCAAAGTACATTGTTCATGCTATTCAATCAAAATTAGTATCGGAGCGGGATTATAAGTGCCCTAAGGCATTTTTAAATTAAAATTGGGCATTGCAAGTAATATATTCATTCACTATTGTTTACATAGTGGAAAGTGGCAGTACTCATTATCCTCATTACCTTCTGCACATCAAAATGCCGATACTGCATTAGTAGCAAAATTACTGACTGATCTGCCCATAATGACAGGGAACACCGATTCCTTTAACTAAGAGCCTGGGTTTGTGGCTGTCCATGCAGAGACTGAGAGCCCGAAACATGTCTCAGAGGACCGTCAGCACCTTCTTGGGTCCTCTGGTGATTTCAGTCAAACACTGCTTATATCAGCATGCGAAAGTACAAAAACCAAGTCGAAACAGCATTTGTGTCATCAGATAAGGAAAAAAAATATTTGAATCCTATCCGTAGATATCATGTCTATATCCCTTCTGAACAAGTCTGAAACTTTTGACCTGGGAGTATCTGTGCTAGTAAGAACAGTGTAAACGTAATTCTTCTTGTGACAGCTGTAGGCATAGGGCAGTCTTCGGGCACACAGTGAGACACAAAGGTCTGTGAAGCAGACACCGGACACGAACAAGAACAGATTTGCTTCTTCTTGCTTTATGATTCCACTGGAAATTCAGCAAAAATTGTGTCTCTGATGCTGAATGGAGCCAGAGAGTCAAAGTATAAAAAGGTTGCATTTTGGCTTGGAAGAAGAATCAATGTTTTTAGTAGTTACTGGGCAATATCTCAGAGATATGAGAGGTTAACCCACATTTTCACTCAGATATGAAAAAAACTGCACTTTGCAGGTTTTTTACATTACTTTACAACAACCTGCACTAAAACTAATTGGTCTATTTTTCTTTAATCTATTTCTTTCTGTATTGAGTTTGTCTTTTTAGTATTCGATACCTAGATATCCACATTATCTTTATAATAAACTGGTATTGTGGAAGCTATTACATAATTAAATATTTTAGTAAGAAAATACAAATTAAAATAACACTAATAATAATAAAAAAAAATCACTGTGGTAAAAAATGTCATGCTATTGTACAATAGCATAAGCATTTGTGGAGAAGATAATAAGATTTCTTTCAAAGTGCAGTTTTTTGTTGTCTAAAAAAAGACCAGTAACTCCTTAAAAATACAGAACTATTTTCTGATTCTCACTTATTCTTATCTACGTTTCCCCAGACTTCAGCAAAATCAAAAAGGAAAGTCATACAAGGTTACTCTCTTTTAAAAACAGGTAAGAAGCAATTTTAGTCCATCTACTCAGGCTTCTTATGACCGATTTCTACACATAAAATAAGAGATCTTCAAGATTTTCTCCAGTGCTCTTCTCCCTCATTCTGTTGTATGAAATAATACCCAAATAAACAGGATCAAAATCCTTGCTTAGGTGCTTCTGAAGGCAAAGCTATGAGAGCGGCAATACGCAAAATGTTGCTGCACGCATGAAGTAAACACAGCTGAAATAATAAGAAGAAACATATTCCACTTTTATTTCTTTCAGTTACCATGATCTTTGTTGTCACTTGTAAACGTTGTAGATAAAATATTCAGACAGAAGTATGATTTTTAAGGTACCCCTGTCTGTGACGGTTTCAAACTTCAATAGTTATCTTGCCAGCTGCAGAAGTGAAACTGTCTTTGCCTTCTGACCTGAATAACTCAATTTAAACTATGTAAAGAATGGGCTGTTAGTGTTAGGAAGCTATTTATGTCTTTTTTTTGTGTTTGTTCATGATACCAAATTGAAGGCTTATAAGACCACGAGCATGAAGTAAATCATGAAGGGTAATCAGAGATAAGCTGTGCCTTTTGCTAGATCCACGGTTAAGGTGGATGTGGGCCAGAGCGATGGTACACAGTCTTTCCTCATCACAGCTGAGGAAAACCAGGACACCAGAAGCTGCTCTGATGCTTACTAGCAAACCATACTGAAGGTCCAACACCCAGCACCACCCAGGCACAGGCTGCAAAGGATATTTTTCCCCCTAAGCGAACATTTCTTTTACACCATTTTGAGATACACCACTTACCAATTACCATAACGGCCATAACATTAATTACAATGAAAACGTGAATCACAATTTAAATTGAGGGTGTGAATATACAGAGAATTTGAACAATGTAACTGAACTTATTTGGACGTATCACATTGTTCATATATTTTAACAGGTTTAAACACCGTTGGGTTTATTCTCCTTTAGCTTAACCATAAGTGCCACATCCCTTCTCTGAGATCATCTCTGGAGAAAAATCTTTTCAGATTTCTGTGAGGAGTTTACAGCAGTGTCAGCTGGTGCCCCCAGCAGTGCAGGATAGGATTACCCCCATCCGTAACCCAGCAGAGCCCATCCCGCTGCTTCCACAGCCCAGTTTTCACCTGGGCTGAGCTCTACAGAGCCCTCTGACTGCTGTGAGCTGCTGAATACTCAGCCATGATAGGGAATAAGCTGTGAAACACTTTCAAAGGACTGTTCCAGTAGGTTGAAAGCATCACTGAAAGCTTAGCTGTATTATTTGGGTTTTTTATGGTTTTATTGTCTTCTTGCTTAATTATTTCTGCTTGTTTGAGCAAATACTGAGAAACGTTGATGCATATTGCTATATAAATTAAAGAATAATTATAGCATTTAAAAATAAACCATTCTGAAAATTTTCAATTTTCCATGGTTTCATAGAGAAAATAATCTGTTATGTACAATTACTCATCTCTTTGATAATAAAATCCCCCCTCCACAGTTAGTTAATGCTAAGCGAATCTGCACAGGCATCCTGGGCCAGGACACAAGAAATCAGCCTCTGCCACTGACCTACTGTGTGACTATGAGCAAGTAATTCCCCTGCTCCGTGCCTTGTATTCTTTGTTCTAAAATGTATGGTCTGTGGGTAACAAATGCCGCTCGAGTGCTACAGAATAGCTTGACACTGTTTTCCTAGTATTATGCAAAACAAAACGCCCATCCCTCCACCCTGGCTTTTCTTAGCTCTTTCTCCTCAACGATTTTCCCAAAACAGTAATAACAAAAAACTCCAGAAATGTATGTGGCATTGGAAGAGAGGTGATGTGGGGATCCCATTTCAAAAAGGACTGAGAGGGCAGAGGAGTCAGCTTTAAATTACTTTCAAAGAGAAGAGCCAATGATCTTCCTGGATGGGCTGACCTTGCACAAAAGCCCTTCAGGTGGCATATTTAACGTCCTTACAGCTGTTTGCATATGCTCTATATGTTTTGTTGCCAACCCTAGCTCTAGACAGAGGCCAGCAAATTCAGGTTTGTCTATTCTGGCAGCTCTTCCTGAGTAGTCACGCTTTATAGAAATGGGAAATTTGCTTTTGATCTCAGCTGATAAATCACATCGTAACTCAGGCAAAACCACACAGCAATCTTTTAAAAGATTTCACTGTATCTGTTGCTCAACGTATATTAATTGCATTTCTATCACAGTGACTAAAAAGAATTTATTTCCTACTCCTATCAACGAAAGGCAACAAGTCACAAAAGGAGCATTTTTTTTCCCCCCTTCATTTAAGAATATCAGAAACCTGGAGCTAGTGATCACAAGCTATTAGACACAAGCGTAGTGAAAAGTGAAACCACACACTACAGCATGAAAAGGATATTAACCACCTCAGAGGGAAAGTGGCGGGGAATTAATAGATCCACTTAGTACCATGGGAGAAGGTATTAAAATCCACAAAGGTGAAAAAGGCCACTTTAAACAACTGCAACAACTCTCAGAATCACTTAAGGAATTGCAAGGCTTCAGCTGCCTCTGGGTTTTTTTTTGTTGCCTGATGTATTTGTCAAGTTACGAGAATTTAAAGAAACCCTGTAGTCAAAGGAAAAGGAGCTCTTAGTCGGGAGCGCGATGAAGACTGGTGAATCACAGAGGGCCACACCACCTCCCCTAAACCCTTGCACGGTGTAGGAGAGGCACAGAGCACTTGTCTTTCCGAGAGGGGGAGCTGAGAATGACAATTTGCTTCTTTTTGCCTATGAGGACATTGAACCACTTGCTGCATTCCTGTGGAGAGCCTTCGATAAATATCTCTTGAAGATAATATAATCTCTTTGGGAAAGCAATACTAGAAGTCCTAAGTTACATGCATTAGGTGAAATAAACCCACATCTCCTATGTATCTCAAAGATCCTGCATTAAAAACAGGCACATCTGTCTCTTCCTGACTGAAGAATTCATGCAAGATCAGCAGCATATTAAGTATCCAAATCCAAGACACTAGAAAAGCTTGCAAGAAATGAAGTGTGTTGCTGACAGAATATTTAGTAAAAGCAGTGGACTTGAAGGAAATTCAGGTGAAATACTAGGAGCTGTGTTCAAACCATTCTTCATGGATCCTGCTTACTGTAGACAGTAGTTCTTGTCTAATTTGTATCCCTAACAAAATAATGGAATTGATACTGGGAGAAATAGGCTCGGCACAGGAAAACAAAATTACCAGCCACGAGCAGCAGGAGTTCAGAGAGAATACAGATGTCCGGACAAATCCTAACCCTTTTTTTCACTTTACAGAACCCCAGCTGAGCAGAGGAATGAAGTGGAGGAGATGTAATCCATCTGAGCGTGGGAAGGAAAAGCACGTGATACTTCAAAATATCGTCAACGCATACAAAAAGCCTTATTTATTTATTTGTTGTGATAGAGCAAATGGCAGGGAGGCATCCATGTTTTAACTTAAACGTCTAACTCTCCTTACATTCTTCCTCAGCCTCGGGGCTTGCCAAGGGAGGTGCTGGGATGTGGCCGTTCTCCCTCGCTTGTGTTTACCCTGCTGATCAGAGAGGGCAAAAACCCCAAAGAGAGTAACGTCTTAAATGAAGGGAGCTCTAAAAAGCCTACATTTTTCAGTTGGCCAGCTCCATGTTTTTCTGAATACCCTGTTGTTTAACTTGAATATCCACATCTGAAAAAGCAGTCCTGCTATATGGGTGTTTAATGAACTCGGGGGAACGTCCAACACTTCAAACCCATTCCTTAAACACTGCCTTTTGAAACAAGGATTGCTACAAGGTAACCCGTAGTCCAGGATGCAGCAGGAGAATTCTGATACAAATAGAGAGTGTTTTAAAACCAAACATTCGCAGCTTTTAACCTTTTATACGGTTCTCATAATCACACTCCTGTAAAGAAGCTTTAATTGGCATAGAGGTGGGATGACATTGCGACTGAGGTCTGAAGTCCGTTTCTTTCGCTTCTGCAGTAATGCAAACAGCTGCAAGTATAATAAGTTAGGCCAGACTAAATGCAAATTTGTAATTCATGTTAATGCTTGGTTAAAAATGAAATGTGTGGGTTTTCTGTTAACAGCAATTTTTATACATTCACATGGCTTCTCTCATTTTAAAAAAAGACTCAAAATTAGCTTTGAAAAGAAGTAAAAAAAATAATTATTTTGCTAAAGTCCAGTCAAGGGTAAAAAGGGAAAAAAGCAATGATGAGGAGAAAACGTACTTCACTGAGGCTGGTCAAGCTCTTTACAGCCACAAACTGCTTGGAACACTATTTGCTATACCCTGGGTCTTGGGAAAGCAGTAAAACCTCTTTCTCGAGCAACACAGCGCTTGGAAAGATCCATGCATCCTTTACTAAATGTAGCAACCTCTGAGTCAAACTGTGGTGGCTCTTTCAGAATAGACATCATTAGAATAGTCATCAAGAATAATGAACCTTATGCAACTATTCTCAAGTCCACACTAATGTATTCTTCTCTATAGAAGAAAAAAAAGCAGGGTGAAACACCTGAAAGCATCACTAGGCGCTTTCAAAACAGGCAGGAGAAAAAAATAGAAGAAGCTCTTAGTGAACAAGCGAAAGGTGACATACAAAAGCAAGACAGTTTTCCCATGGAAGACGAGCACTTAATTGGGAGAAGAAATGGCTTCCCAGATTGCATAAACTAAAAACCGCCAGACTGAAGGACTGGTCTCCAGAAAATAACCACCTGCATTTATTTCAGTTTCTTTATTGGCTCCTGGAAACAAAGAGAACTAAGATTTCTGCCCGAACTGATGCTGTGGGAGCTGCCAGTGGGAATCGCAGAGGGCTCACAGGCAGAAATTATTGCCCGGTCCCTTCCCCAGCCAGCAGATCCACCGGGCCACACCTCTGGTCTCTCACGGAGAGCCACTCAGCCATGCCATTGAAACACCATTTCAAATTTCTTTGCTGCTGCCTCGCCATACCCCCTGCCCCTTTTTTTCCCCTTCAACCTGCCAAGTTTTGTAAATATTTAATGAACTACCTACATGTATTCCTGCACTAAAATCCTGCTAACAATAGAAACCATTCTTACCCTGCACTGTTACGCTACATCCTGCACAAGGTCATGCTGTTTTTCTTCCTTAGTATCTTTGCTCCCAAAGGGAAAATGCTTAAACGGCAAGGAGAAAAGACCTGCCTGCAAGCAGCCACCAGAATAAGAAAATGGTGTTAATTACCCCCACTGATAATGCCAGGTTGAACAGTGTTAAAAGCTGAAAAGAAAATTTGGATTGAAATAATAAATAATAATAATAGTTTTCCATCTCTAATATCTGGACTCTACAAACTGCTACTTCAGCCATTATGGCTATTGTTATGGCAAAAGAAAAAGACATAAATAAACTTGTTGATGTGTTTGTCAGCTGCTCAGAAGCGGTGGAATAGTTCATCACGATGTTGAGCTGACAAAATACTGCACTGAATTGCAGTGAGAAAAAGGCAAAGAACATATTCTTAGTGTTAACCAAGACCTACTTGATAAGTTAGAACAAAAGGACCATAAAAGTTCATTATATCTTTAGCTTTTGTTGCCATCATTACAATCCATCAACACTCCCAACAGCTTTTTTCGGGGGGGGCTAGAAGTAATACATGACTGAATGAACTGAAAGCGTAACAAAGAATTGCACAAGGTTCCCTCAACTGTGATTATGTCAATTTAGCGGAGCTATCGGCCGTCTTCAAATAGCATATTTTTTCTGAACCACAAAGCATCTCATGACCATAATGGCGCTCGTATAAAAAAAAACTTCTAGTGAGCACAAGCAATGCTCTGACAACTCCTCTGCTATAGCATGGAGGCTCTGCTTAGTCTGAATTGGTTAAAAGGGCTTCTACTTATTTCTGCATTAATTGGATGTAAACCAGGAGTTCAGACATCTGTGGCTAAGTGCTCACTTTTGCTAAACTCCCACTATATTGATGCAATCTGACAAATAAGGTAGCCGGCCCTTTAAGCAAAGCATTTTTTTCTTTAAGAGTTAGGCATTTAAAAAGGCTTCAGTACATCTTTTATAATTTCCTATTACATTACTACCAGGATCCTTCTCAGCTGTTCCAAAGACTTGGTTCAAAATAAGACAGCACTAAATGTGTATGACCAGGGGAAGAGAATGACAGGCATTGGAAAGAACCTTGCATCCAGGGCTAAACAAAATCGGTCGTCTTCGAGTTCATTATTTCAAATACACGTTATGTATTTCATGATTGTGGGACTGTGTTAACTTACATGTAACTATATACTGAAAACGACTAGATAAATTCCAAATTTAGTTTGAACAAACTAGTCTCTTTCTGGTATCAAAAATCCCTTTAACTCAAGACCCAGGAAAACGAGACCATCTGCACAGTCTTTCCTTGGGCACTAGTTTACACGCAGAAATTTAGTCCTAGATTTTGAATTTACTTTGAATTAACTATGACAAATATCCACATTTCTTCGTGCAGGTTCATTAATTATTGGAAGACTTGAAATCACTTAAGATCAAGGACCTCTGTTTCACCTATAAACCATACACATGAGCTAAGGTATTGCTGCAAACTATAATAGTAATTTCCACTGCTGGATGCAGAGCTAGGGGGCACAGCAAGGTCTGCTACATGAACAAAATGTACCAAGATCCATTGAAACAACTTCAGAAAAAATTCCCTGCTTGGAGTTTTCCATTACCGGGCCTAACAGAAAACATTTTATGAAAGAGGTGAGAATTCTTGTTCCCATTGCTCAGATGCTAATAGCAACAGGGCGATGTGCTGCCATCAGCAGCAGGAACTCAGCCAGGCTATCAAGCGTTGTAGCTGGCAGGATTACTTACATTTTGCAGCTGGACTCGGCTTTGTGCCATACACTCTGACTTTGCCATCATGCTGGAAGCATTTAGGCTGTAGGTTTTCCTATTCTGTGTTTCTTTCAGCTGTTCATGAATTTGCTTGGTTTGTTTCCTGCAGAGAGAAATACAATTCACGTATGAAAGAGCTAGTTTGATCTTCTGCTATAGCCATGATATTTTTATAGCTATGGTTCCCTTTGTTCAAAGCTTCACCATATTAGATCAACCAGCTGAGCTAATTAATGAGTGTCTAATATTTCAACACAGTGGTCATTTTCTGGCAAGGCTTAAGAGAGGAAAAAAAAAGAGCTCTTCAGTTTAAAATATCTTCTATTCTCCGATTACTATAATAGCATGCTAGTTGTTTTAGTGCAGAGTTTTGTAAGATCACCTATTACATATTTAACAATAGCTTGCAAGTAGATCTGAATATTAAAAAAGCATTTTGCTCTGATTTAGAACAAAGATTTTGGCAGATACAGCAGGCATTAGCCCCTGTTGGCTATAAAAAGTGTTGAAGAATCAAAGATTCCTGCTAGCTGATTAGACTTGAACTATAACCCCATATCTTGCATAGACCAGCTTTTGCCTACATGTTTAAACCTAGAAAAAAAAACATCAGTACGGTATCTGAGGCTGCGTTTTTCACATATTATACTATGATCCATTATGTCACAGCTAGGAATACCACTAGATGAATTACTTGCAATATTCAGGAGATAACAACGCTATTAATAAAGGCTTTCTGTTTCTGCCACACTATATTGACAAACCAAGTTTCAAAGTTCTGTACACGATTGAGGATATGAAGCAGCAAACTTTATTTTAAATACTTCTTTTATCTTCTGCAAACAGGTACCTCAACTGGGCAAAAACTGTTAAAAAATATATTTAAGGTCTTTTATCAGTCTCTCTTCTTTTGCTAAGGTACATTGGCTGAGACTATCAGTTTTAAATGATCACGAGAAATAACTCCACAGCACTATTTTATCTCTTTCCTTCCTTCCCTTCTTCCTTTTTCTCCCCAGCAGATGCAACTCCAGAAGCGAACGTACAGAGGCCCTGGAAAGCACCCAGCAAGGTGAAGGACTCGTCAGCAGCACTTCGTTGTGCCACCAGCAGCTTTTGGACAGCAACTGGTGCAAACCCAGATTTCAGAAGGAAGCGATTTCAGGGAAGTGTCGATAAGAAATGAAGGAAATATAGTCTTTCTACACTGAAGTTTACAATTTTAGCAAAGAAGCTTCAGCAGCATTTTGAAAAATTTCTGGTGATTTTGCTGCTGAAATCCTTGTGACGTCATCCAGTTTGGTAGCATCTTACTTGACTCAGGCCAAGGAATTTGACACTGAACGAAGTATAAAATTTGGTTTAACTTCTTTTACTGGAGTCTGTCTAGTCAGGAAAGTGTGAGAAACCAGACAAAAATGACTTACTTAAGTGGTCAAGGAGGGAAACTGTGAGAAAGGACAAGTTCCCTCAATATGAAAGCAAGCAGTGAGAGGTATCCCAGTTCTGATATTCAATTTTAATGATATGGTTTTGAATATATTAAAATAAATATATGAGATTTCCTCTGCCTTTGAGTCCCTTAGATCTGATTCAGCATTGCACAATTTAAATATTTGCTTAAATCCAACTAGCTGTAAGCACCTACTTAGCATCAGGTGTTTGTTATAGCACTTTTCCTGAATACAAATCAGAAACTATAACAAATCTTGGACTATATAAGTATGTCTTATGCTTTCTATTTACGTCCTATTTTGAAACAGCATGGCAAATGAAAAAGAATGAATTTACATTGTAAGCATGTTACATATATGAGTGGCATGTTTTGAGTAGAGCTAGGAACTCATAATTAGTAAGATTTATGAATATGGGTGGGTGAGGAAATAATTTCTTAAGCTCAAATACTTCTTTAACTTTCAAAATTCTTCCTTAGCCAAAACAACTTGTAAAGTTAATATCAGAATAACCTGAATAGATATATAATCTGAAGGACTACAGGGACAAATTAAAATAATTAGTCAGTTGATTCTGAAACATTTCTTTTAAAAACCTTTTTTTATACCTACTCATTTTTGAAACCAATGAAATTGAATAATTTAATTTCTGAAACATCAGAATGAACTCTTTAGCGTCTCATAAAATTCCAGGGGAATTCATAAAAGCAACTCTAGAGCATATAAATAATTATTTTCTGACCAGCTAAATTACATATACTGAGGAAATAAGCATAAATATCCCTACGTCCTATTGTAAAGCCAGCTATTTGCACGTTTGTCTCCTTAATGGTTACAGGACGTCCAGTCTTTGCTGATGACTGTTTTTTAGCGGAGACTTCGTATAACGCCTAATGACAGCGAAACATGATCACAGCATCAGACTTTGGGAATCTCTCCTATACAAACAACGGTCTTAGAATTTAATTAGAAAAATAACAAAACAAATTACAAATTTTTGGAACTATAATTTTAATTTATTTAGAAAACCTGGGTTGAGAGTTGTTTCTACATTTATAAGCACCTATAAGTAAACTGGAATATTCAGCTTCACTGCTGCAATCTTTTACATTACAATTGAGATTCTCAAAGGTAATTTACTGAAAGAAACAATCTAATAATTAATTTCCTTTTATGTTCATGCAGCTTAACATCAATATTAGGTTTATGCATATTCATTTTGCCAAACCATGAGATGTGCATTTTTAAAACTAGAAACTATTAATAATTCAAAGTTTTTAACCTATTAATATATTTATTTTATTATTTTTGTTTTCAAAACAAATGGGTTTTGTGTTTTACTTTAGAGATATTTGGCAATTAAGAATTGTTACCTCAGCAAGAAATAAAGTCACTAATCATCTATAAAAATCTAAGCCATAAAGAGTGGCCCATTGCTGTACTCTCACTCTGTTGCTAACACTTGCAGCACTTTCTTGATTACTGTAAAAGGAATAATTGGAAGGGCCTAATGTTTAATTATAGTTCTGAACTTCCTCAGATTGATTTTATTTTAAAGAAGGACTTTTAATTTAAAGCTGCATAGGGAAGTATGTATTTCTAGCATCAGGTATTATATAATTGTCAGACTAAGAAAGTCAGGGTCAGCGTCTTCAAGGAAATGTTTTCTTACAGGGTGCAGCATTCAGAGTTTCTGCATCAGAAACTCTGATGAGATACATCAGATAAAACCCAAGGATTTTAAATTTTTGATACATCAGATTAAACCCAAGGATTATCCCCCATGCAGGAGGAATGCTTCCATAACTCTTCAGCATGATCAGGATACATCTGCCTGATGAAGAAGCTCCTGAAAACCTTTTGACTAAAAGCTTATCTATGATAAGGGTTGAGACACTTTCAATTTGTTGGGTTTTCCACCCTTAAGACACTGGCCAATGTCACAGTTACAATATGGTTTTCTTGTGGCCTCTATGCAACCCAGTCTAGACACTCTCACTTGCTCTTTGGACAGTTTGCCAGATGGGGGCACAGCCAGGGAGTTAGGGGTTGATTACCATCCTACAGTTACTGTGTTCCGTGTATTCGATAAGACCTCTTGACTGAACTGGAGATGCTCATGTCTCATTACTCTTCAAACTTCAGTTCCCGAATCTGGCATAAGCACACTTCAGCTCTTCCCAGTAACTCTTAACTATTGTATTAATAATGCCGATAAAAGCCCAAACGCAACACCCCCACCTGCTGCTGAGATATGAAGTGCTACTGTCCTGCAAGTTCATCTCTGAAGCATTATTCCTATTCGTTATTTTAGACATAGTTTTCCCCGCCACCTCACCAAAGTCATGGTATTCTGAAGGCTGTTCCAAGCCGGCTGTCCACCACTCCCTACAACAGTGTAAAACCAAGAGGTACACAGCTCAGTAACAAAAGGACATTTTATTCACACTATGCTCAGTTGTTGACTGCACCTTCTTCCAACTGACAATCCCATTCTGCCTTTTCTGAATCTCTCTTCATCAGCAAAACCCTCAAGCCTTTCCAGGAAGACAAGAAACACCTTATTGTCTCTTTATTTCTTCTGCAGATCTAAAATAAATAAAGCCATTTCCAATGCAGTGGCAAAATGGCTGTCTTGCTCACAATTTATACTACAACCAAGGAGTCTGCAGTGGGGAACTGTCCTGCCATGGCATCATCCCAGCTGGCATCACTATCGTACTCTAGGTCCAAAAAACCATTTAAAGAAATGTCTCAAGACATTAGAACAGGTAGGAGTACATGAATGATCTCAAATCTTCACTCAAATTATGTACAAACTACCCCTGAAGTTTAGGGGGACAAAAAAAGAATAAAAAAAAGATGTGGTGTCTTATCCAACTTCTACCCTCCCCCCGATAGAAATGTCAAAGCACTTTTTTTTGAAATAAAAAGTAGTCCTCATCAGATTTCTTACCCATTGAAACAAATTCTAAATAGTGGGATTCAGATAAGCATCCAAACTTGTAAATAGTGCAAACCTCCACATTTTTGCAGCTCAGCCACCATGACTAAACTCATGCAGGTACTATTCGTATTGACATGTGTTCTCTCATCAGCTCCAGCTGGAACAGGAATGAGGGATGACAACCATACAGAACATATTTATAGATACAGTGGCATTGACAAGCATGTCATGTAATTGCTATGAGTTTTTTGCAACTCAACTTACACACATAACAATAACTATTATAAAATAATGTTCAGTTGAGAAAAAAAATAGAGTTGAAAGTAAGTATTTCACTTGACAATAGTTTAGTAGAGATGAATCCATCATGCTTGAATAGTTCAGTGTGCTTGGGCGTTACAGATACTCATTATGCAACTACATGAGCAGTTTACAACTATTAGCTACAGGTTACAGATATCTGCAGAACTTGTATCTTCCTGCATTTCTAACTTCACCTCTGTTCTCAGCATACAGAAACCAAAGGGACATTCAGGGATATGAAATGAAATGCAAAAAGGAGATGGTACGTTTAAACTTCTATTTTCAAAAGAGGAAAGTGATTATTGCACTGATAGTAAAATCCAGAAAATCATTATTGTCAAAAAAAGAACTGGAAAGGACACAAACTCTTCTTTCCTGATATCAGAAAATAGAAACAGGAACACATATTACTCGTCTTTACTTTTTTTTGGACTTAGTGTAGCCACGGGGAACTGTTCTGGACTGTCCAGAGGTAACGACAGCTTCAAAAGGAGGGGAAGACCTGAAGAACTGTAAAGCCGTAAAAAGCACAGAAGCTAAATAACAAACACGCTAGATGAAGGCTCTTACTTTGTTTTGAAGTAGAACGCTGCACAAAGCATGCCCACTACGACTATGCCAAAGACGATACAGGAAATAGACAGCACCTGGCGCTGGTACACTTCTTCGCTCTCTGTGAACAGCAAAATTGAGAATTATGAAAGCATCAGAAAACGATACTTGCGAAAAGTGGATTTCAGCACATCATGGTTTCACTAATGATGGACAGATACGAGAGATTTGGAGGTCTGGGTTGGCGAATTCCTAAACAGAATGGATGCTTCTCTGAACCTCTCATCTACATAAGATTCTTAGAGTCGTGGCCTCCTAGGAAAGGTTTAGAAAGGGGTTCCAATACATACGGAGATACACACAATAATAACAATCAAGATAGTTTAATATTTTATCTGCCCTACATGCTATTTTCCAGCTTTTTTTCAAAAACTTCTACTGCCAATAGGAGACAAAGAGCCCCACAACCATGAAGTTTTTTAAGTCAAGACCCATCAGAGCTCTCACAAGGTCCCACAAGAGTCAGAGTTCTTTTTTAGCTACCCCAAAAATATAAGGTTTTTTGTGATTGAATGATGATTACAATGCCTTACTCCCATGCCATTCCTTGAAGTTTATGTATAGAATCACAGAAAAGAATCATAGAATGATAAAGGTTGGAAGTGACCTTGAGACCATCTAGTTCCAACCCCCCGCCATGAGCAGGGACATCTTCCACTAGACCAGGCTGCTCAGAGCTCCATCCAACCTGGACTTGAACACTGCCAGGAAGCGGGCAGCCACAGCTTCTCTGGGCGACCTGTGCCAGTGCCTCACCACCCTCACGGTGAAGAATTTTTTCCTAATATCTAATCTAAATCTGCCCTCTAACAGGTGGTATAACATAGCACAGTAAAAAATTAATTCAATCAACTTGGATAGAACCCAATGACTACCATGCTACAATGCACCAGATAATGCTTTCGTGGAAGTCTGCTTTTTTAAAGAAATTTCTTTAATAAGTCTCATAATCTTCTAATTAATTTTAAAACAGGAACAGAATTAAAGTAAAACAAAAGAAAAAAAAAATGAAGAAAACAAGCGAAAACACTCATTCATGACAGGTCACAGAAGCTGATCAGCAACTGGAGTGTCACACACTGAATCCATCTAACAGCTCCTGAAGTGTTGTATTTTATTTTCATTACTTCTACTACTTCCCTAGTCCAAAGTGCTAACGTGCTAAACAGAGTTCCAAGATCAGTTTCTCCAAGCATGCAGCATACAAACCAGTATTTTCATTCATATATTTTAGGTAGAAAACCAGCATGTAGGATTATCAAAGCACAGTAGAAACACTGTACACCGACAACCTACATTTCCTCTAGGCTGGAGATCTTCAGTGCAGACTCCCCCATCAATATGAATACCAGACACATATGTCAAGCAGGTGACAGTAACTCCAAGTTCCAGGTTGAGAAGTCTCAGGTTCATAAGAAAACATTTTATGATAACATCAAGGTGAATCTAGGTAAATATTGGAAAAAATCTACACCTGACTAGAACTTCAGTCAAAAACTGCCTGGTCTTGCAAGGACTGAAGACTACGCACAGCATCCTTATCACTACTAATTATTATTTTTTCAAGACTGAATACCACAGTGCTGTTACTAAACATTTGGAATCTTAAATATGATCATTTATCTCTTGTAAAAGTCTCAGTTCCTTTTCATATGCTATTTCAAATAAAAATACAAGTACTGAATCTTTATTTCTTAATTACTACTTTACTTGCTACCTCAAAGAACACCACAGTAATTCTGAAGCCATTTCTAAGATGCAAAATGTCCCCAGCTCCTGTTGAATTTTTTCCCTCATTTAATTTTGAAATTCTAAAAGTTGTACTTCTAAAATACTGTCTCAAAAATAAAAAGAAGCAAATAGATTAACTTACACTTTTTACATTTCTGAAATATATCTGGAAAGGTTCAACAGGAATTCAATAGGAAATCCTGATAACATTGCAGTAAAACGGATTCCAGTCGAGCATCCAGTCCGTTATTCATCGGCATGTACAAAATTTGGATCTAGACTGTAAATCCTCATTGGCAATGAACTAAATGTTGGGGGTTTTAATTTCTTGTTTTGTTTGTTTGTTGTTACTAGCCTGTGTAAACACAACTATCCACCTTCCATTTTCACTGCAGTACACCAAGGGCTATTCTTACAAATTTTGAAGTCTTCTGTTGATGTGGATGACACTGTAAATAGTTAAAGAATTATTCAGTTCAGCAATTGTTAAGGTGTTTTGCCTCCATACCAATTTCAGCACCTACTGCCTAAGACCACAACTAAGCCATACATACATACGAACTGTAATATCACTCAAACACTGCATATAATAATAATAAAAAAATCTATTTATTAAAAGAAACTGATTTAAGTAATGTGTGCAAACAGGTCTAATTTTGCTCTTCTTTCAACCTAAGTCCTCATTAAATACTTTCTTTTTTTCCCCTTTTGTTCTGTTTTTCAGAAATGGTGAGTTTAACACAGCTATGGTCTTTTGTCAGCCCTGAATAGATATCACTGTCTTGTTAAAGACGCTTTAGAATACATCTTACCAAGATAAAAGCACTTCAGAGACTGGACAATATTATCATGCTGAAACAACTCTGTGAAGATTTAAGTCTTTTGTGTAGTCACATTAACCCCTGCCACTAGCTTTCAGCACATGCCGACCTATGCTTTCTTTCCTTTTTCTTTATTTTGTACAGTGCACACTTAAAGAACTACTTATTGATCACATTAACTGCATTTCTTAGACACCTTTGTTCATTTTTTTTACATCCTTTGAATCTTTATTTATGTATTGGACTCCACCATTTTTTTGTCTCAAATATCTTCAAATAAAATCAGTTAAGCATTCTTCCATTCTCTAATCTTCCACATGGGCTTTTTAAAAAACCCCCACCTTCTTACTGATAGAAACGTAATCTGTCTTTCTTTGCAAACTTTGAAGGTCTCCTCATGGTTACCTTGGTTTAACATCACTATTGCTGTAACTATGTATGGCACAGCTGCAATCGTCTCTAGCCAAGGTGTACTGAATAGGGCCTCTAAATACGGCAGAAGGCCACAGCCAAGTACTGCAAAGCATTTTGGCCACAGCCAAGTACTGCAGAAAGGCAGTGAAAATTCATTCCCCTTAGTTGAAGATGTGCATACATGTATTCACACACTGACACAAACTTCCCAAGGTAATCTAAAGTGTGACTGAAATATAAGTCGCTCTTTATTCACATATTCCTTGTGAAATAAATCAACTTAATTGCATTCTATTGAAATAAATACTCTACGGAGAGGATTCTTCACTTAACAAACAGACAAGAAAATATTACAGCTAAAAATCAAAATATAAAACTACCATGGATATTCCTAAGTAATCCAGCTGAGGAGTTAAGACTACAGAACATGAATTCCACCAAGCATTCAAATTATACAAAATACATAATTTATACCAACAGAAATATAACCACAGACCACAGTGCTGAAAAATAATGTAGTAAACTGTTTAGATGCAGACTATTTCGTTATAACAAATGTTACAGAAAGAAAAAATCTTTCCAGAACACAGAGACAACACAAATTCACATGGGACATGAAGCCTGTTGAGAGGCTGGGTCTCACAGACAAGTCCCCACTCTGTGTCTGTGCTGTTACATGTCTAGCCCATTTTTATTTATACTATTGATTCTTTCACATTTTCATACCCCCTACAAAATTGTCTCTCTCCCTTCATCTCTGTCACGTCACCCCACTGAACGTAAACTTCTTATGTCTTAAGTGTTCCTTTTCCTAAGCTGATCTCACACATTTGCTACCATTATGAAACACAGAATGACTACTAGTGACCCATGGAAGCAAAGTTTCTTCCAGCACTCACATCACAGTCAAATTTCATCTGTCTGGTACTGAAAAAAAGTACATGCCATATTCCAAGTACTAGGGTTGTTTGGTTTTTTATTCTCTCTCTCTTCAAAATTTACTCTTAAAGGCTGTCATGTCTCTGCTTTATGCATGCGGAAAGACCCGCTGAAGCATACACATAAGTCTTTAGACGATTAAAAAGTATAGGGTAGATACATATTTCTCTTGATTGTTACTTGTAAAGGATATAGTAGTTTTGTTGTGTAAATAAGCTGAAACTTGCCTTTTCTCCATGACTTTATTATAAAAGGAAGAACACTGGTACAAGGTCCTTGAGAAACAACTACACATGTTTGTAATCATCTCACTGAGAAAAAATTATTTAGTTAATTAAAACAGATTATGTTCGGCTTTGTTAGCAGCTAAATCCACAATATCAATACCAGCCATAATCACTGGATCCTCTAGTTCTATTGCGTATTTTCTGAATTTATTGAAATATCTTTGAAAGGTCTTTCAAATACGAAGAACAGCACTGTGCACGTGGCCTAAGCAAAGCGATAACAAACCAAAAACATCAGCTTTACCCCTTGCGGTGCTTATTTCAAAGATTCTTCAATAAAATCTCCATATGTCACGATCATCACAGAGAATAATTATTGAGTATTCAAACTGAGCCAACTGAGAAATGACGACATTTACTGTACAAGTGCGTTACCTAAGCTTTGCTCTATAAAGAAAGTATGAATAAATGTGCAGGTTAATTTTTCTGCTGAAGTTTTTACTCCCAGCCCAAAACCCACCATAAACCCTAACAGCATTAAGTATCCCCTTACCTTCTTCACTCCCCTCCCCTAAATGGACCCGTTCGGCATTGCTGCAAGTAACAACATGCTATAGAATAAATACCCAAAGTCTGGTGTCATGCATAGCAAAGACGAGACAAACACCTGCTTTCCACGTGCTTTCTTCCATCAATAAATGCCAATGAAAACTCTATGAAATAATCCTATGACTTATTTTTGACCAGCAACTTTAGAGATGTTCTTCTTCACCTTTTTCTCAATTGCTGTAATTTATGAGCTAACAGAGGAAGCGTGGCCTAATGGATAGAATATAAAACAAGCTCCTCCTCAATAAACTACGAGGGATTATGAAGGCAGGATTTCTTTCTGTCCCCATGCAAAAACTAAGCCATGCAGGTGCAGTGAA